AGTATTGGCAAAATACAGATCTAAAGAAGGAATGCTGTCCAAAATATCCAAAGGGTCTTAAAACTCAATAAGAAGAAAGCACAAAACCCAATTAAACAATAGGCAAAAGATCTGGACATCTCACCAGAAAAGATATACAGATGGAAAATAAGCATTAAAAGTTCCTCAAATCACTTGTCATTAGGAAGCTGGGTACTGAAACAACAATGAGATGCCATTACACTCATATTAGATTGGGTAAAGTGCAAAAATGACAATACTAAATTCTGTTAAACATGTACAGCAACAGAAGCACTCTCATTGCTGGCAAAAATGCAAAATGGTATAGTCTCTTTGGAAAACCCTTTTGGTAGATTTTTTTTCTTTGTTTCTTTCTTTTAGTGTGCAACATAGTCAAACCATATACTCCAGCAATGGCAGTTTCAGATGCTTTTCCAAATGACAAGAAAAAGTATGTTTACTCAAAATATTAAGCACAAGGATTTACAGTAGCTTTACTCCTAACTGTCAAAAACTGGAAGTAACCAAGATATACTTCACTAAGAGAATGGATAAACAAATTGAAATTTACATGCAATTGAATGTGTTTCAGTGATAAAAAAGAAATTAACTATCAAGCCATAAAAAGGCATGGAGAAACTTTAAATATATAACACTAGGAAGAAGTGAGTCTGAAACTCTATATACTTTAAGATTCCAACTTCAGGACATTCTGGGAAAGTCTAAACTATAGTGACAGTAAAAGGATCAGAGGTTGCCAAGGGTGGAGGAGGGGAAAAGGAATGAACTGGTGAAGCACAAGGGATTTTTTTCAGCAGTGAAACTATTCTGTATGACACTATATTGGGGATTCATGATATTAGGGATTTGTCAAATCCAATAAAACTGTAAAACTCAAAGAATGAATCCCAACATAAACTATGGACTGTTGGGAGCCAGCCTTGGAGGCCCGCCTGATTGACAAAGTCCAGGTGTGCTGAGGACCCCGGCCGCAAAGCGAGTCCGGGCAGCTGAGGCCATTTGTCTTCTGTCTTTGCCGTTGGTACGGCTGAAGAAATTCTGTGCAGTCGTGGAAGAAGAAAATGGCATGTTTATGCGAAGTACTCACAGCTAACCTGAGAATGTCATGGTTCATTTTTCCATTTTCCCACTATGCCACTTGGCCTTTTCTAACATATGCAAGGGTTAAACTCTGAAGCACATCAAGAATGCTTTCTTTCACTTGGTTATAGGTTACTAGATATTGCTTAAGTAATAAATGATATAAGTATATTCACTCATTTGATTTAGAATTATGTAGTTTAGTGTGTAGACATAAGGTTTTTTAGAAGTACAAGTTTATAGTAAGTCCATTATGAATTCATTATAAGTTCTAACTCTTATCTCGGAGTTATGTAGGTGATTTATAACACTGTTTTCACTGATTTAGGATAAAGATTAATCGTTAAGGTTTTTACTTAATTCAATAGTTAAGACTCTAAGTTAACATTTAAAGAGTGGGTTTTCACTGAACTCATAATATACTAATCAGACACTTTTATGATAACTTAGCTAAAGACAGAAAGCAACCTTGGGGGCCTGGGGAACATTACTAAAAGCTTCTTTTGAGTTTTCTTTAGAAACAAGCACTGCAGGATAAGAGAAAAGTAACGAAGACACCTGGACAAGAAAGGCGATTACAGAACTCTGAAGGTCATAAAGCCCCAGAAGGAAAACTACTGCTACATGAAGAACTTTACACTTGGACACTTTCTGGAGACAGTTCAAGGACTGTAATTCGGGACTTTGGACTAAAACTATCATCTTTGGCCTTATGAATAAGACTCATTGCCTGAATGTTTATAGGGTTCTTGGCTTGTTTGTTGCTAAGACCACTAGATGGTGGTAACCTGTAGAGGATATGTACGTGAAGGAATTTTCTTTGTCTTGCCCCTTTACAAATAGTATAAAAGCTTTCCCTTAGCTAACATTAAATTGTCATCTGTTCAGGAAGCAGGTGTCCGAGTATAATGTTTTCGTCTTTCGCCTATCCATCTCTCCTTCAGGAAGTCTCACAACCTTGTGGGGCTGGACCCCCGCAATGCCATCCTGGGGAATGGTTTTACCACACCATTTCTAATTTATATATACATGAAAATGAACACATATATGGGTAGAAGCCATCCACATGATATGATGGAGGTTAGAAGACAGGACCAGCACATCCTCACAGGCTGGGGGATTCTGGTCAACATGGCCTGTTTCGGGGCAGGGGGACACTATGGAGCATGTCTCTTTCATGATAAGAAAGGCTATTATCGTAATAGCTCAGCTATTTAGAGATTCTGCCAGTCTTAAGCATCTGGTATGGGAACTAACACCAATTGAAATGGAACCTTTGAGCATAAAACAATGAGTATTAAAGACTTGAAATGCATACCTAATATCAAAGCTCACGTGTTTCACCAACCAGAGTGAAAAGATGACTGACATCTGAGAAGCTAGAAAACAATGATAGATGATAAAGAGCCCCAGAAATAGAAGACAAAGGATAGTCATGGTGGAATGTCAGAACTCTTACCCTTCACGAGAAGATCTATAACAGCAATGACAATAAACAAATCAAAACCCACTGAGCATCTTCTACCTATGTGGGGCAGTTTGTAGATACTATTTCTATTATCAGGGCAATATTTTGTTGTGGTGGTAAATAGCATGGGTCCGTGAATCTCACAGATCTGGGTTTCAATCCTATTCTTCCAGCTCCCAGCTAATGAGGGCAAGAATAGCGACCCCTTGGGTAGTTGTGAGCATTACATTATTTGATTCTCAAGAGATTTAAGTCATTAGCCGGGTGTGGTAGCGCGTGCCTGTAGTTCCAGCGATTTGGAAGGCCGAGGCGGAAGGATCGCCGGAGCCCAGCACTACAGTCTGGGTGACAGAGTGAGACTTCAACTCAAAAAAAAAAAAAAAAGAGATTTAAGTCTTAGCAAGTTGTTGTACACATAAAAAAGGACTCAAGAATATCTACCATTATAACTGTTATATCCTTACAGAAAGCCTGCAAATTAGGTATCATTACACAAGAATACAGAAGATGCCTTTGCGATGAGAAAATGCAAATAACTTATCCAAGGTCATTGGACCTTAAGTAACTGAGATGTGATTTGAACCCAAGTCCATCATCAAAATCTATGCCCTATGTAGGCTGTATATAGGGCTCACATCTGTAATCCTAGTCCTTTGGGAGGCCAACGCGGGAGGATTGCTTGAGCCCAGGAGTTTGAGACTAGCCTAGGCAAGAGGGTGAGACCCCACCTCTACCAAAAATAAATAAGTAAAAAGGAAAAACAAAATCTATGCCCTTTCTATAGTGTCTGGTATATTATAGGAAGTGTTCAGTGATGTCCGGTGGGGTGTAGCGCAAAACCTGTGGGCCCTTTGACTTGACCCTGAAATGATTTTCAGAATGTCTTAAAGAAGAGGGGAAAGAGAGAGAGACATGTCAGAGCTGGCGTGGGCAAGAGAAAAACCTGCTTTTCGCTTTGCACAAAAGACCTGATCAGCCGGGCTCGGTGGCTCAGCCTGTAATCCCACGCCTTTGGGAGGCTGAGGTGAGTGGATTGCCTGAGCCCGCGAGTTCGAGACCCGCCTGGGCAGCGAGACCTCATCTCTACAATAAATCAAAAAATCAGCTGGGCATGGTAGCGCATGCCTGTAATTCCGGCTACTTGGAAGGCTGAGGCGGAAGGATCGCCAGAGCCCAGCAGGTCGAGGCTGCGGTGGCCGGAAGCGGCCACTGCACTCCAGTCTGGGTGACCGAGTGAGACTTTCACTCAAAAAAAAAAAAAAAAAAAAAAAGACCTGATCTACCCATTTAGTGATTAATATGTTCATGAGTGAGCGGGAATATCTGCTCTGAGAAATTACCAGGTCTCCTCCTCTGATGGTAAGGGGATAGGGTGACCTGGGGTTTCATATTGAATCCATATTCTAGCACACGGTGGTTCTGCCTGCCACCAGGATATCTGGAAGGTTTTTTTTTTCTTTTTTTACAAAAACTAGACACTGTCTACAAGAAATTTATCTGCCTCACCTGTACTACCTCCCCTGCCTCACTCAATAGATAGTATGCACAAATATTCTTATGATTGAACCACTGAGTGGAATTCTCTGGGCCTCCAACTGTGCATTTATCAGGAAACATGTGACTGACACGGATGATTTCTAGATTACTTCTGTCTCTTATGATTGAAATCTATGATGAAAAAAAAAAAGCCAAAAAGAGCCAGAGGGAGGGCAAGAGACACCATGGGGACTGGAAGAAACACCATCCAAGAAAGGATAAGAGGAGGACAGAGGTGAGGCCCACCCCAAATAGTTCTGGGTGAGACTAACACTGGAAGGAAGTAATCAACAATCTCCAATCTCAGAAAAGAAAAGGTGTAACACTGATAAAGTGACATATCAGGGAGGTGCCCCCCCCGTCAATTTCTTGGTGGGGACATTATGAGGCTAAAAGTGAAAACTGAAAAATGTCTGTTTTGTAGATACCATTTTTAATATAATCAACATTATATACAGTTCTACCACCATTAAGCTGGAATTGTAATCCCTAACAGATGAAAAAAGATGAAGTCTGCCGCCTTCTACTCCCTTAAGAGCCTACCTCACATTAATCACAACACTTCCCAAGAACTCAAAGTGGGTGGGTTCATTCAGTCTATTTTTTTTTTTTGAGTGGGAGTCTGTCACCCAGGCTGGAGTGCAATGGCACACTCATAGCCATCACAGCCTTGACCTGCCGTGCTCAGGTGATCCTTCTGCCTCAGCCTTCCAAGTAGCAGGAACCACAGGCATGCACCACCATGCTCAGCTAATTTTTAAAATTTATTTTAGAGATGAGGTCTCAACAAGTTGCCTGGGCTAGTCACGAAACTCTGGGTTCAGGCAATCCTCTCACCTCAGCCTCCCACAGTGCTGGAATTACAGGCATGAGCCACCACACCCAGCTGGGTTCACTAAGTTTTAACTGAATGCACATGCACAGAAACACAAAAACTTACTGAGAGAGTGGCCTCTTTTCTATTGTTGTAGGTATCCAGATACTCTTGTAGTTCTAGAACACTAAACTTGAGCTTGTCCAAAAGTCCACAAGAGAGGAGCTAAAGACAGGAAAATAATTTGTATTAAAACAACTATAGAGATACCAACACAAAGATGGGGCCACACAGATAGAAAGAGAAATATATTTAGAAGTACTATAGTGGGGATACAGGGCCATCCATATTAGTAAGCTGTGAAATCTGGAGTCTTGCTATACTATCAGCTGCAATTGCAACCGAATCCTAGCTTGCTTATTCAAGCATCCTATGAAAATATGTATTTTTCCCATATCAGGAAAGGCAGATAAGCCTTACCAAGCATTCCATAGAGGCCCATGTTAAGATCCAATACCCATTCTTTGCATGACTTCTACCATCATCATTCAATAATACTCCAAGGAGTGAGAAGACAGACCTTCAAAGAGACTTTTTTTTTTTAACTTAAAAATTTTTTTTAAGCCGGGCTCGGTGGCTCAGCCTGTAATCCCGCACCTTTGGGAGCCTGAGTAGAGTGGATTGCCTGAGCCTGCGGGTTCAAGACCCGCCTGTGCAGGCGAGACCTCATCTCTACAATAAATCAAAAAATTAGCTGAGTGTGGTAGCGAGTGCCTGTAATTTCGGCTACTCGGAAGGCTGAGGCGGAAGGTTCGCCGGAGCCCAGCAGGTCGAGGCTGCAGTGGCCGGGAGTGGCCACTGCACTCCAGTCTGGGCGACAAAGTGAGATTCCAACTCAAAAAAAAAAAAAAAAAAAATTTTTTTTAGAGACAAGGTCTCACTGTGTTGTCCAGGCTCATCTCGAACTCCGGGACTCAAGCGATCTTCCTACCTCAGCCTTCCAAATGCTAGGATTACAGGCAGGAGCCGCCATGCCCGGCTCAAAGAGACTTTCAGACTAATTTTGTATTTAATGGATACCTTAAACCATTTAAGGCAGAATGATTTCTTATATCATATTGCTTTTTGTAAGACAGCCAACCACTAGCCAGGTTCTTGGAAAGACTTCAGTGTCTTTTAAAATCAAAGCAAATCCTCACTGGTTCTAAACCTCGATCATTACTGAACATATATGGTGTTTTTGCAATATGTCGGGGGGGGTGTTAAAAAAAAAATCACACAGTCCCTGCTCTCCAAGAGGTTCAGTCTTGCAGGGTTCGAGTTACGTTCATAAAGCCATGACTCAGTCAGCCAGAAACTGTTCTAATTATCCTTTAAACTCATTATTTACAGATTGGGCTAGGTGAATCCAGAGGGCAAGGGTTTGAGACTTGGGATTGGGGAGAATGATGATGTTTCTTCCGAAGAGCCAAGCTGGCATTGTGGGGGACTGGCGGGGGGTTATCCGAGCACATATGCACAGCTGTCAAAGTCAGAGTGCCAATGACACGAAGGACAGAGGCAGATGTGGACTTTCCTCCTGATTCTCTGAAATCAAGAGGGCACTTGGAATTTGTCTTTGCCGGGGCATACATGCAGTAATGACTCTGTAGACCTAGAGGCCTTTGGGGGTCACCTCACAGCACAATTACTGTTGTGTGCTGCACATAGTAATGCAGGTATTTTTAAAACAAACGACAACACAAACACATTACCCTGAATTCCACACTGTAAGTTGGGCACACTCAGGACTGGGGTACTCACTGTCTCAGCATCCACGAAAAGTGTAGGGCATTCGGAACAGGAGGTGAGCATCTGGGAAGAGCTGACAAATTTGGATCCGATTCCCCGGAGGTTATCTCCCAGATAACTGGCTGCATCACAGGTTAGGAAGCAGAATCTTTTCTGAATATTCTGTAAGGCAGAATAGTGACCATTTATAAAGGTCAAATTTAACCTGTACTAGAAAACTATTCTATGTACTAGAAAAAACAATTTTTTAAAGGGTTTTTTTTTTTGAGTTGGAGTCTCACTCTGTCACCCAGACTGGAGTGCAGTGGCTGCTCCCGGTCACTGCAGCCTCGACCTGCT